AACAAGTGCCACGCTAGTAGTAACAAGTGCCTTACTAGTAGTAACAAAAAGCTATTAGGAAAAAAAGAATCGGTGCTTTTCGCAGTCCACACTTCGTCTTTGAAGCTGTCCAGCCTTGTCGCAGGATCGAGTGCCGTTGTGGACTTGGACCAATTTGGTCGATCAGGTTGGCTTCCGTGGCTGTGAGCTTTTGCTCATCGACGCTGAAGGCTTTGACGTGGAGATTTTGTCTCTTGGTATGAAACACATGCTTTTGCGGTTCGAAGAAGGGGAAGCAAGGAAGGAATCACCCTAAGTGTTGCTAATCTAGGAACCAAATCAAGAAGGTTGAAACTTACACTGCTACTCACCGTGCTCACCCCTTACCTAGCTATACTTAACCTCACCTGACAACGTACCCAAGACTAACCCCCCGTCTATTTTCCAAGCATGTTGGAGGCCATCACTCTTAGGTTGGAGGCCATCGCTAGTGGGAATTGTCGTGTTGTTTTCGCTTCTGTGAGAACTTGAACTTTGGTTCCACCCATCCGAGGCGCTCGATGGCCTATCACTGCCAGCGCCGACGTGAAGAGCTTCCATGGGTGATACAATTTGAAAGCACCTTTGCTTTTGGCCTGTTGGTCCTCCCAATACTTAATTAAGTAATTGCCTACTTAATCAAGTAAAGGGAGAAACCAGTAAGCTACTAGACGCAGGATAGCTCAAGCGCACTAATGATTTGGCTCTTGGATTTTCAGGGAAACTTAACATGTATTGCACGCATCGTTTTTGAATTAGCTACTAGTAGCGTCCTTGCTCCTAGTAGCGATGCCCTTTGTTACTAGTAGCGATGCACTTGTTACTAGTGGTTCCTTGCTTTTAGTTCAATCAGGCAATGGCCTTTGCAATGCCCGCGCCGGCTACGACTGCGAAGCCGGGTCTCAAATACTGGAGGGTGGAGCAAGGCGTGGTGAATCCATGGAATGGCAACTGCTACCCTTCTTTTATAGCCCGCTCCTCTCTCTTAATATCTTTTAATACTAGATGTATCTGCTTACTGCAATATGCATAGTTATGCGTGAAGTCTAGTGTACACGGAGTTTCGGCTCAGTGAGGGCGCAATTCCCCCCAAGACAAAAAATACCTTGAGGGAGCTCGGCGCCGGGGAACCCAAGGCATGCTCTGCGACGCCGTGGCAACAGCTATGGAGGCCTTGATGAGCTACGGCGAAAGCCGAGAGCTATCCCGTGAAGAGGTCGAGCATGCGCTGCTCCACGGCTTGAGTCGGCTCAACCATGGATGGGTATCCTGCACCTCCGAGCATGAGCTTGGAGCGTCGCCTGAGGCAGGGGCTCTGGATTTGAAGGTGGCTCGGGATGGGGCCTGACACAAGTGCGATCCCACTGCTTCGTCGAAGTCTAAAGAAAGATGATGGAGACCGTTGCGAAGGTGACCCTGAAGAGATGTTACAGTCGCTCGATGACATTGGTGTGGAAAGCTCTGAACGGCTTTTGAAAAGTCTGGCAAGTCAGGCAAAGGGCGGGTGCCTCCTAGCTTTGGAGGCCAAGCTGTTCCTGACGATGAGGCCAGGGATTTTTCTTCACCCACGACCACCTACATCGAGTCGACGACGAGATGAGGAGACAGGTGTTTGGATTAGCCGCCAGTGGAATGCAATCGAGCGGCCCACCTCCCATGTCACCCTCATGATCAAACATGGGCGCTATCCTTAAAGCGCAATGTAAGGAGTGTGAAATGCAAAAATGAGGCGGCCCCGAAAAGTCTATCGAAGTACTAGGTGTAGAACTCGACATTTCGGGGTCATAACCATGACTAAGTCAACGGGACGGATAACTGGCAAGGGTGGAAGCCCTGTCTCCATGGCTCTAGCAGCTTAGCCCATGTGCAGCGCACGGGGATGAAGCACGTGGTGTCTTGTTTTGGCTAGCCGTGGCCGAGGCGCCTTGGGCGCCCTGTTGTTCTGCGGGGGTGCGGTGGAAATAGAAAGCCAGCAGATCCCCTTGTCCGTTGTCACGAACGGCTTTGCTCGTCTCACACAGGTAGTGACCGAATCCCACGTGGAGGTCGCGGAGGATCTGAAATGACAGGTCCCCAATCTCGAGCTTGAACAGGAAGTGTCCGGAAGCTCGCATCTTTGGGGTCTCGAGCGTTCCTATTTATTGGGTAAAAAGAGCCGGGTACCAAGAAGCAGTGCTTGGACCAAGTCAAACCATAATGGGGCGATAGTACGGCGAATGATTTTTGTCTCCTGTGTCCATTGGTCGGCAGTCTGGTCGGTGGGAAGCCGGAACGGCAAGCCAAGTTTCTGGGCTAAATCCAACGTTTCGAAAACACGGGTGTCTTTGGCCCGCTTGCTTGTTCAACTCCGGGGGTATGCTCTATCTACAACCAGGCTAGTGGACTGGTCGAAATGATCAACGCGGGCGCGCAAGCTTGTACTCTCATTCTCATATCGAGTCTGGGTGACCTGAAGCGCTTTGACCTCTTGTTCCAGTTGATCCACCTTCTTGTGGTGCTTGCACCTGCGGCCGGAGCAGCGTGTCTTCACCCCACCATCTTGGCGGTCGGAACTGTGAGCCACCCAGCAGGCGAATATTGCTGCTACCTCTTCTGTACCGAAAGAAGGGGCTGGCAGAACTCCAGAACCAGAAGATGGCCCCTCATCCCCCTGGGCGCGCGTGGCAACCCAGTATCAGTAAGCTAACACAGGTCGCGCGGGGCATCAAGACACGCAAGGACCCCGATCTGGGGAAAAGGCATCTTCAGGAGGGAGCGGGGCCTACCATCTCATTGGAACGCTTGCCAGCGACTGTCCGTCCATGTAAAGTCAGCAAATCCGAAATATAGCCGTTAATAGCCAAAAAGGGTCCAGTCCGTGACCAGCGCAGACGATCCAACTCCCGATGCACCGACGGATACACGCCCACATGCGCTTACTGTGAACGCGCCATTACTCTCTCAATGTCCAAAGCTGCACCGCTCGACAAACACAGTGGTGACAGGGTCTCCGGGGTGGAACTCAAAGCCTCCCGCCCTCGAGTCCGACACCGTGGACCAAGACTAGTTTTGCCCGGCATCCCACCCGACGCCCAGCGCGACAATACGAGAACCGACGGCGACGATGAACCTAGGGGGAACCCGTCAACGCCGAAGATCCTCAAAGAACCGGCTCCAAAGTGAATTCAATCCAACACAAGACCAAGGTTTGTGTCGCCGCCAACCTAGAGGGTGGCACTCGTCCCTTCCGATGCTTGGCAGAAAAGATTAGGCTAGAGAATCTGGTTACACCCTTCGTCACGCCTGAGCACAGTGAGCCCAAAAGTTCAACGAAAACGAGGATCGCGACGGCCAAGAGGCCTAAAGCGCAGGTGAGTCTTCCCTCACCCCCGTGAAGGACATTGAGTACGAATGTAGGGAGAGTGACGGGACCCATCGGGTTTCTGCAGCCGTGAGGGCTGAGTGTTGGGTGGACATGGACTTCATGGTGTTAGCAGTGTTCATTATGTACGTTGGCCTCAAAGCGAATGCCCGCATGGATGCGTTTTTCATTTCTGTTGTTGTGTTTCATTTCTGTTGTTGTGACTTTGGCGGGCGTTGAAAAGATGGAGGTTGTCAACTCTGTACCGGATGACCCAGCAGAAGCACGCTTGTCACTTGGCTGTACGCTGGGGAAAAGATGCGGTTGAGACGATGGTGGCTAGGCGGCTAGTTTGTCAGCTGATCGTGTTCATCAAGCAAAGAGTCAAGCTAAGCCTAGACAGGGAGAGCTGGGGAGGAGGCTTGCTGATGCAAGCGAGGAGCCAGCAGCTGCAAAGCCTGCTTCGCTGTCATGGAGGGAGGTTGGCTCCTGGAAAACCCAGCGGTGGGTGAAGGGAACAAGTCAGCTCCGGGAAATTAACGACGGTGATGCCCAGGCGGTCCAAATGATTCGGTCAAAGCCAAAGTTCAGTGACATGGTCGAGCTTGCAGACCCCACACGAGGGGGGTAAGCCTGCTGAAGGGTCTTTTTTTCGATGCGGCGGCCATGGAAAAGGTTGTAGCGTCGGCTGAATCTCGTTGCCGTGTGCTGGGAGGGCGTTGCAATCTCGCGCGGCATATCGCGTGCGCCCTCAACTTTTTGCATGGCGGATGGTGGCCATCCCTGGCATGGCCCTCAGCCAGGCGCAACAGCGTCAGCGCAGCAGTCCTAGCGCCGTTGGTGATTGGGCTTAACGTCTCCAAGACTTCGCGGAGGACTTGGAAGGATGCAGTTGCATCAGTCAGGGAGCTGCGTCGAGCCTAGTAGGGACTCCAGTAAATCGGTCAGGCTCGCTGACCTGCTTTGCGAACGAATAAAGAGTACAGTATGACGGACGATCCAACAAGATGGTGGGCTGATGATCCTAAGGTGTTCTGCCCAGAGGAGGGGCGGCGACTTTCGTGGGACTTTTCTTTGACAGAGGTTTAGTTCGTTTGGTTGAACGAGGCCCCAAGATTGGTTCTAAGATTGTTTCAAAACAATGGCTTGTTTGGGTGATGGTGAATGCCTCCGGCACCAACCGCTTCATGGTCAAGCTGGGCATACCCTCAAGAGAAGCCATGGCAAGGAGACTGCGTAAGACGAAGCCAACCATTGGAGATTTCTGGAATGAGGACATCAAGCTGTTTGGAGCCCCAACAGCAAGAATGCTGGAGGTCTTCGGTTTAGGAGCTCATATCAAGGCACTGGACCCTTTGCCCACATGTTCGGATAGCTCTGTCGCTTTTGGACGAGTCGCTGGCCATTATGCACAGGTCAGAGCAGCAAGCGCTTGTCAAGTTGACTCAGCAGATGCTGCCGAATGAGCTGGGAACCTGCAGCCATATGATCATATGGTGGTTTCGAAAGGTGCAGTGTGGATGGCTTTTATGAGAAATGGGTGGATGCATAGAAATGCTGGCAAGGAATATTCCTCGTCAGGTCAAGCGGGGTTGGAAAACAATGAAGGAGGTTGTGTTAGCGCTCGGTCGTTGCAGTGGCATTGGGGGCCTTGAAGAGGCCCTAAAGAGAGCTTGAATTGGTCGGCGCACTGCAGTTTTTGTTGAGAAGGATGGGCGCTTGAAAGAATTTCTCAGTAGCAAGTATTCGGGCATCATCAGTCGAGGCTTTGGAAAGAGGACATGTCACGGGATTTGGAGCGCTGCCCCCATGCCTGGTGTAGTCGTGGCAGCCTACCACATGTTGGAAATTGACATTGCCCAAGAAAACACAACACGTCTCAATCGTCAGAGCAAAGCTAACAAAGCAAACTTGGCCAAGCTAATCAAGCAAATTGGAGACCAGGATGTTCAGCTAGTCGACCTGAAGTGCAACCCAAAGCTCTGGCGCTATGTGGCCACTGCGAGAGTATCACCGCACCTGCCACGCCAACGCAAGCTGCGACCATGATTGACCCACTCAATCTCTTTACAGCCACACCTATGGTCCCAGAGAGACAGAGAGAAGAGAGAGAGAGAGAGAGAGACAGTTTGTGTGACATGGACATTGCTGGCCACATTCTTGGCCAAGGCGATGTGACAGACGAAGACGATTTGGAGAGCTACATTGCTGTATTCCGTGTGTCCTGAAAGGCCTCCTGATACATGTGAGGCACGGCGGTTGCCGCTGAAGCGTCGCAGAGTTGAGTGGACGGGCTGGCTGGCTGTGAGTGCATCAGTCAATGAGTGACTTGCTTATATGTGTATATATATATATATTCTTTTTTGATCACGATGGCTCCACAAAAGCGCCGCTGCCCGAAAGGTGTCCCTCGTGAGTTTCCTTGAGACACAGAAGACGAGTTGGAAGAGGGAGCAAGGACATGCCGAGGAATCCTACATTGTCTCCGAGTTTGAGAAGCTCGGATATACGCTGGTCGGCCAAGGTCGAGTTGCTTGGCCATCGCGATTGGGCGTGCTTCGGGAGGTTGGTTTCAGCGGTTGGCTGATGCAGATGTTTCTTTGTGTTTCTCTATGTTTGGAGGCCATTGTTAGTATTGAAATCCCCAGGTCAGGTAGAGTCTGTAGCCTTGTAAATGAATTAAAAGTACGCCCCAGACGGTAAAAGTATACGATTGAAAAATACGCCTTTGTAGAAAATATATTTGCCTTTGTAGAAAATGCGGTTGAAAAATACACAATCCTAAATAATACACTTGACCAAATCATGAACCTCCTTCAAAAAATACAAGTGTATTTAAAATACAACTGCCAAAATGAACATCTACTAAGAAAAATACAACTGCAAAAAAAATGCAATTGGAAGAATCACAACCTCCTTTGCAAAATACAAGTGTATTTTAAATACAACTGCCAAAATGAGCACCTAGCAAGAAAATATAATTGTAAAAGAAATACGCTTTGGAACGCAAAGCAGCAAAGAAGTGTCTTTTTGGTAAGGTTTTCTAAGAAACAATCGTGTGCCTAGTGGCAAGAACAGCATAAACCAAGGTTGTCATTGTGGCACACATACCAAGGGGCGCAGATGTTGATGTTCCAGCCATATAACCTCGGGGGCTTTTGGCCTCTTGTTGGGCACCTTGCTGAGAGAAGCGCGACGCCTGGTATATGCTAGTGGTGGACCTAGCATTGCGCCATCAATGAGTGGGCCTCCACACAAACCCCACACCAGCCCACCGCAGAACAAAACGAATCGCAACCGACAAGCCTTTCGAATCGCGGGATCACATTGAGGGGTGGTTCTCAACAGCAGCAGCAATGATTGCGCGTAATGCTCGCAACAACAACAACAGCAAACGTATTTTCGTAAAAAAAAATCCGGTCAGGTTCCACTCGCATTTTCGGAAGCAATCGTATTTTTTCGTCAGTCCAGGCAGGTTCCAATCGTATTTTCGTATTTCTGGACCGCGTATATTTACACGATTTCATTGAAAAATCATTCGTTGTTTAAATGTGATTTCTCGAGAGAATCGTAAAAATCATACGCTGGAGGCGTCCACGCGTGGGACCATCGTAAAATAAATACGCCGGCGGTGAGCGCACGTGGGCCCAGCGTATTTCTGGACTCCAGACGGCCAGGGCAGATCGTATTTTCGTATTTTCGCAAGTCGCTCAACAGGGAAAATCGTAATATCGTGTTTTTTTACCTTGCCAGACACCAACTGTAGCCAGATTCAGCTCAGATTGTTTGCGCGGTCTCGGACATTTAATTTGCCAAATATTAAGCATATTTTTAGACCACAGTGCGCCCCCAGCCGCACCCCACCCTTAGGGCCGTGGCATCAGCAAACCCAAATGCAAACAGGATGCACACTACCATGATGGCTGCTCTTTTCATTCAGTCAAAACAGGCCACAATCTTCTATTGGGCATTGTAATAGGCGCGCAACACAAACAACACTTTTGCCGATTTTCGATGACCATCATCCAGTTGGCCAAAATTTAGGGGCCAATTCCTTTTTTGGATCGTCGCTCCCAAAATGATTGAGAACCCAATAGACATAGACAAGTCTAGGCATCACACCTAGCATGAACGCATGACCGGCGCTAAGGACACGTACCTAGCATTGCAAAGGGCAAACTCACCGTCTCTGAAGAGGTGGCTGTCCAGCTGGTCTTGCTCCGAATGCGCCTCGGCACAGCTTGCTGAGGGCCCAATTTGTTTTTTAAACCCGCTCTGCCCCCTACTACTTAATCAAGTAGGCGCCTACAAAACGAACTTTCTAGTAACTGGACGCAGGATAGCTCATGCTCGCACTAATCACCAATCATGCGACTCCTAGTTCTTTAGAGAAACTTGATGTGATATGCATTTCAAATCTGTTGGATGGGTTTGGTTTGATGGCAAATTTCTTTTGAGTTTCGTTTGAGGCAATGCAAGATATGCTTATCCTTACACCGTCGTGCCGGATGTAATGTGCCAGCGTTGCGCTGACTGGGCATGGAAAAATTGGGAAAATTGAATTTTTGGCAGCTCGATTTCAGATTGATCAAAAAATATATAAGAGTGACTTCACTCGGCCATGAAGATTGTGACATGTTCATTTCTAGATGATCATGGAACGCAGCAGGCAAAGTCGATCGAGGTGTTGACCAAGCATGCTGAGTCTAACCCAGTGTTGAGGATGTACCTGTGTGGCACCCGACTGGTATCTATGCCTTTTTTGGGTGGCTTGGCTCACTTGGTAGAAGGCCATCGCTAATAGGGTGGAGGCCATCGCTAGTAGGAGTGACTTGGTATGAGTGCCAGACTGAAACTGGTTGTACCGCATGATCTTTTGTAAGAGTGTGCTTGTGGCAAGTTCCTTTGGTGTGGGAAATGAAATGCGCTGCGTTTCTTTCGGTTCTCGTTTCCAGGTGAAATTTCAGAGAAAAAGAGCAGACCCTGCGTCGGCCACGAATCTGGGGATGGATTGGTGCGTCAGACGAGCGGTTTGATGAAAGTTTTGAGAGGTCAACTTGCATCGGTTTCACCGATGGAGAGAGCAGATCTTTCGAGTTGACCATGGCCACCATTTTGACAAGCTACTATTTGTCCGGAAGTGGTCAAGTTCCGAATTGGGCAAATGCAAAGTCTCTGATTGTCACAGATTCATATATGATTGTGTCCTGTTCTTCCATTTGCCCTTGTTTGCTGGACTGGAAGAATTCTTCCAGCTGGACACCGCTGGAATCTCTGGATCCGGCACGAAAGTCTGGGCGAGATTGCCAAAGGAATTGCCATCGACCATGATCTCCAAGGTGCAAAAAGCGAGTTCCGCGCCCAAAAACGCGGAAGACGCTGAAGACATTGTGCATACAGATTCCGAGAACCATATTACACAAATCCAGACAGGCGAAGGCAAGTCATTGATCTTGTGCATGCGCGCCACACTCTTTGCAAAGTCGGGGTTCAAGATCGACATCGTTTGCTACAGTGAGTAGCTCGGCATACAAAAGGCAAAGCTTTTCGACTGCGCTGTGGACCTTGCAAACGATGCCATGTTCAGGCCTACGTGAATCTGATGCGAAAGCCCGCGTGAAAGGCAGGGTTTCTAAGCCCAACTTCATTGCTGGGCTCTCCTGAAAAGTTGTTGGGATCCCATTACTTCATGCTGTATGTGTGTTTACGTGACGCAAAATCTGTGCCGTCCCTCTTTGGCCCCAATTGGGCGCAACAAGTCGGAGCTCAAACTCCGAGAAGAGACGAACGAGAGATCGAGGCCGCGAGTTTGAAAGTCTGTTGAAGCCGCAAAATGGAACGAGAAGAGGCTCTTTTCTCCTTCACAGCCTTCGTTTGGCGGCCCATCTCAATTTTGCTTGGGTCGATTTTTGATAGCACAGCGAAGGAAAGAAGCGTGAGAAAATCCATACGGACTGCGTGGAAAAGAGCAATTACAAGATGTACTTCGACTTGGGGAAGTCGAGAAGTGGTTGTCTCAGATTTGAAGACCAGATGAAATGGATGTTTTTTGTGTGTTTGTTCTTTGGATCTTTATTTTCTTGGTCGTATTTCCTGTGTCTAAAAACATTGTGTTTGGAGGAATCAAGCCCATTCTGACCTAGTAGTGGCAGCTAATCTCGTTTGCTCGAAATGTTTGTCAAGACGCTGATGTGAATCTTGTTTGGAGTCGATGCAGACCATGAAGACTGCAACCAGCCAAGGTCTGGGCTTACATGCAGAGCTGGCAGGAATGAACGGGCATGCTGCTCAGGCACTGCAAAGCATGGCAAAGTATGGCAATGCATTAGAAAGCTATCCGGTTCTTGCTCACCTGGCGTTGACTTTGCTTGGGCTCAACTCGCTAATTTGTTGGCAGGTGTCTTTGGATTGTAAGCTCAAAGGCTTGCTTATGCAGTTCTGCAACAAATCTATCAGCGTGTTTGGGCCGCCAGGACCGGAGAGAGGCGAGGCCTTGCATTGACCGCAGAAATCCAAGTGTTGGACACCTTTGCAGCCACTCTCTTCGAAGAGACTCACGTTCGCTTTTTGCCAGAGAAAGACGGAGTGATTTCACAACAGATGTGTGCTGACCAATACTTGAGTCGGCCAAGTGTCTCCACACAACAAGCAAAACGGCTCACGGTTCCTTCTGAGGCTTGTCAGATCTTCATTGTGTGAGTCCCGCGGCCACCGGGCGGCCACCGCCCACGGTGTCGGTGCAAAGAGACGAGAAGAGATGCTCGTTTTTCAGCCTGCTGGGTAGGCAGTCGGCTGAAGTACCTAGTAAAGGGTAAGTGGTAGGTAGCTTGAGAAGCTACTACCTTGGACGCAGGCGGCTAGAGCTCAGCCTTCGCCTTTATGATTTGGTGCACTAGAGTTTGCGGGAAACCTAGTAGCTTCTTGTTCTTAATAGCGTCCTTGCTCCTAGTAGCGATGCCCAGGTTACTAGCTTCGATGCCAGCTACTAGTAGCTTCTTGTTCCTAGTAGCGTTTATTTGAACTCTTTTGCCTTCTCAATTCTTGTCCCTTCTTTCCGATTTTGCATCTCAGTTCTCGAGAAGAAGTGGGTGTGGAGTTGACCAACCGCAATCGATACAAAAACAAGGCTCGCAAAGTTCGAAGCGGTTTGATGAGCCACGAAGGGAAGCGAAAAAGGGGAGAGGTCAAAGACTGATTTATTTGTTGGGTAAGAGAAACTAAGCTTGACTTGTCAAGTTTGAGGTTCAAAGAGATTCTGGATTCAAGGCCAAAGGGCAGTCTTGGAGGAAAAACGGTTCGACTTCGGACTTTGGAGTTTCTTGGCGAAAAATAAGCTACTAGGAACAAGTGCCACGCTAGTAGTAACAAGTGCATCGCTAGTAGAAACAAGTGCCTTACTAGTAGTAACAAGGACGCTAATAGCTTCTTCGGACTTTGGAGTTTGGCTCAAGGACCCTTCACCGTAGATCCTTGCCTCTTTGTATAGCAGCCGCTTCAGGACCGACTCCGCTGCGAGTGTGGATCCTCAGGTGCTCCTTTGGCGACCGTGAGGGACGAGGACGGACGTATGGCGACCGTCTGTTACAGTCGGACACCTTTTCAAAGCGTGGCGCCCTTGCTCCGTTCGTAGTAGGGCCAGGAGCCCCGTTCGTAGCTTCTTTTTTACTAGTAGTGAGCCCAGGAGCTACTAGTAGCGTCCTTGCTCCTACTTCACTTCAATAGGAAAGGATTCTGAGACCTTTCACAAAGTAAAAGGTGTTTCATCAAGAGCGAGTGAGCAAATCCAAGAGCTTTGTTTCCTTCTGCTGCTTTAGAACTTTAGACTATCATTGTTGTTTGGTGTTGTTCTTGGTTTTTCTTTAGCGGGGGAGTCTAAGAAAGTCTAATTCTTGTGAAAGGTTGGAAGCCAAATGTGTGAAGGGAGGCTTTCTGATGGCTTGCATCTCAGAGCGATCCAGCAACTTCACGCGCGTGTCGCTGTGTTTGCCATGTTTACATCGCTCAATTTGGACTAATTCCTGGGTTGTGTTCTTGCCAGCCGTTTTGTCCAGCTTTGAATGACAAAATCATGTGAAAATGACTGCTGCTACTAGTGCTACTGCTACTACTCCTCATGCGTCATGTGTGGGACGAAATCCCTCAGATGTGCCCTTCCAGGCACTGCATCTCATCAAGGCGCTCTCGCGAACCATCTCATCAGATTCACATGTTGGTGACATCTCTCCAGAATCAATACGAGTTAAAGAAGGGTAATTGTTCTTATTGCTTCATCTTGCATGTTGTCTTTGTTATTATCGACCTTTCGTTTTGTTTGAGACCTTTAAAGGTTTTTACTGTTCTCTTGCCCTTGGTTCATAGTGCTTCTTGGCATTCAAGGATTGCATCGTGCAATTCTTCTCGAAGTCGCTTTTGCTCAAGTTCCAATTGTCCAAAGAGGTTTTGGCGCTCAGGTCACCGTGATGGTGCTCCAACCTATGCGCTGGAGAAAGCGGGAGTCCCAAGACTCCATGGTCCACCAGTGTCGACTTTGACGGTCTCAAATAGTTCACACTGCCTTTGATGGCCTGTTTTTTCCTTAAAAGCGATGGCCTCCACCCACACCTTTCTGCATGGTTTTCAATGCTGGTTGGGTAGCGATGGAGTTTGGATGTGAGGAATGCCACACGTGCCGCCAATATGGAGGCCAGCTTTCAGACCTTTCGGCCGGTTTTCTTGGTTCGAAACGAGAAAGACCGAGGGTCTTAGATTTAGGGTAGTAAGGAGAAGAGAACAGAAGAAGAAGCTTCTTAGTGGTCTTGAAGAACCTGAAAGATTCTTGGACTTTTGGTACCGGGTCAGACTGATCTGCATAGGCGCTGATGGCATGTCTTCTGATGTCTTTGTCTCAGATCAAGCTTCAGCTTGAGGCTTTGAAGTCAAAAGGCAACAAAAAGCTCTAAAAGTCTAGTAACAAGGTGCATCGCTATTAGTAGCAGGTGCATCGCTACTGGTGGCGAGAAGCTACTAGTGACAAGGTGCATCGCTACTAGTAGCTAAGGGTATTACTAGGTTTCTGCTCCGTCTCATTTATCCAGAGCGTGCATATGTTGAGTCCAAGGATGCGAGCGAATCAGAGCTAAAGCCTCAGACGATTCAAAAGAGCTATCCGCCTGAGTTCACATTGTTTGGATGCTGCACGCATGATAAAGGGGCATCCTTTGAACAGGTAAATGCGAAGCATTACAATGCGATTTGTGCAAAAAGAAAAAGAAGCATCCAACGAAGTTATTAGGTTGGAGGCCATTGCTATACAAAGAAATAGAAACGTCTACCGAAGAGAAGCGAAAAGCAACGGGGGATGGTAGTGCTGCTTTCGCAAGGCCAATGATCGACAGCCGAAGACTCAGTCTTGTCCGGTCTCAACTCAAGAAGATCATCCAGAACTGAGTCGAATTGAAAGGCTTTATCCAAGATACTGGTGAATGTCTTGCTTCTTTAGGTGTCACTCCATGTTTGATTCCCGTAGCCGACGTCTATGCTTGTCGGCGTAAACTTGGCAAGGTCCGGCGCAGAAGCTCAATAGTGAGGCATCGGAGATGTATTTTTTAAGCCCACTCCTCCTTCCTACTTGTTTAGGTAGGCGCCTACTTAACCAAGTAAGGAACTGAGGTAGCTACTAGCTGCTAGGTAGCTACTAACCACTGGGCGCAGGATAGCTCGCGCTAATGATGTGGTTCCCAGATTTTTAGGGAAACTTAAGGTTGGAGGCCATTGTTGCAGATTAAGCAGTTCTGAATATAGAATATGTACTGTCAGGCTGAACTGTCTCACGTGAACGCTTCCAGTTGGCTTCGCAAGATGAAAGTGAGTCCACATGATCGCAGAGATCTCACTTGCAGTTTGCTCACTGTGAGGTGAACACTTCGCGGAAGCTGGGGCCCGATGGGCTCTCGGGTCAGGAGATTGATTTGTTGTGTCACAAACCTTGGCAACAAGCACAGCCTGTGCAGCTGTCTTTGCACACTTTGGACAAGAAATTGAGAGGGCCAGTTCAGGCCAGAGTTGGGCTGGGAATTCTCTCTCACCAAAGAAGTTTTGGCCTTTCTTTGAAGAGATCCAAAGGGTCCAGTCATCACACATGTGTCCTCACGTCGCCAGTTTTGGTGACGTTTTTGGGGGAAGGAAAGGATGAGAGCAAGGAGAAAGGAAAAGAAAGGTCCAAATGCTAAGAAAAGGAAAAGACGAAAAGAGACAAAGGACTAAAATATCCATTTCTAGACAAACACTCCACGCCAAGGTTGAAGTGCCGCCGCGTCTCGTTTGATCCCGCGTCATGAGCACAGAACTGTAGTTGCTCTTGCTAGCAAGCCTTGTTTCAAATG